GCAACAGCAGAAAGATAGAGAGGAAATCAGAGCGCAATTCTTTTCTGAAATAAAAAAAGAACTCGCAGAACTCGTAGCAGATGAAGCAAAGCCTTCCAGTCTTTGTGTGAAGTGTCAGCAAGGGTATCCTTGGGAAAATGAGTGCAAATCTAAAACTAGCATGAAAGGTTGACCATCCCAGAAACCCCTCCATCAACAATAGAGACACTAGCTAGGTTCAGGGAGTGCTCTGTGCTCCAGTCCTAGGTGGACTCAGTGGGGATTTGCCAGCTGCCCTGAGTCTGCAGGCCTCATATAGCCACAGGTGTCCCATGGGCCTCCAGCTACAGGCATGTGAGCCCGGAACCCAATAGGCAGGACATGACTGCAGCGGCCCTGGATCTCCCCACCACACCATGCTCATTTTCTGGCACCAGATGTTCGATCAGTGCAAACAGTGACTGTGCTTGTAGTGGGACATCCAGCAGCCAGAGCAGAGTAATGGCGAGTGTGCCCAGTGCCTGGGGCCAAATAGCTGGCATAATGGCTGCAGACCCCCATTCCATTCTGCCCAGCAAATTGGATCCCAGAAAAAGGTCTTGGGTACCTCCACTGGCCCGCTAAGCCGCTGGTTGACCACACCTGTTACTGGGTGGTAACAGCTGCTTGGTAACAGCCACATGGCTTGGGGGTGGGGTGCAGAGCACGGGCAATGGAGCCCATTCCTGAGTAAAGCATTGCAGCGGAGCCCCTGATAACAGCTGGCCCAGCCCCAGCAATAAAATGAAACCAGCAGCTACAAGCTGTAAAGAGCCCACCAGGTTTTGCCTGGTGTCACAGATTTGGACTATACAGGGGAAACTAAGGTTATAATTCAATTACCCAAAACATACTTAATCACCCCAGGCCCTTGTATCACTCAATTGGTTATTCTTCCCTTGACAAAAATTAATAGAAGCTATAAATAAGAAAATGGGATCCAAGGGGAGTGGGTCTTCTGACACCTACTGGGTCCCACAGATCAAACAAAGTTGCTCCAAGATGGAATTGTCTATTGAAGGAAAAATATTTAAAAGGCTTTCAGACACAGGTGTGGATGTTTCAGTTATTGCCCTGCTTTAAGGCCACTATGGACCCATAGGGGTGGGCAGTGTTTCTCACCTTAGGAAATATGCTAAATTGCTAATCTGGAAGGTTGCTAGCTACAGCAACTTCTTCACATTTGGGTCACCTTATCCAAGAAAGACAAAAAACGACACTACACTGAGCTATTTTTTATAATTGACATTTGCCAAGGAGCATCCATGTATGAGTGGTGTTACTCTCTTAACATAATGGCTCTGGCCAGTAGCTAAGTGGAGGAAGATTCCCTCTCACACCAACCTGCTCCTGCAATTCGAGTCCATCTTCTAGAGAGTTACACATTTTATGTCTCAGAGTTTTTAGAGGAAATTAATCCAGCTAGCCAAAATAATGTAAATGCTGCTTTTCAAGTATGTCCCAAGATCTCTGTGTCCACTCCACATCACACTGCTTTTTGGTTTTTTTGTACTTTTTAAGAGGGATCCTAGGCTCGCCGCCGCCGCCACCGCCGCCGGAGCAAGGACCGGAGACGCGAGCGCCACCAGGGCAAGCAGCCGCCGCAGCCGCCGCCGCTGGGCGAGGTGGCGGCAGCGGCGGAGCGGGAGCGGGGACCGGGCGCGGGCAGAGCGCGGCGGCGCGCGTGTATTCCAGAGAAAAGTTCTCAAACATCTTTGCTATATTTGATGCTGAGTGACTGTCAGGGGACTCGGGTTTATGAGGAGGTACTGTCACACAGAACAGTGTCTAGTGAAGACAAGAGAGGAAAGAAAGTATTGGAAAAAGAAGCTAAAACACTATAGAAAACCATGAGATCTATTCGATCTTTTGCCAATGATGATCGCCATGTTATGGTGAAACATTCAATCATTTATCCATCTCCAGAGGAACTCGAAGCTGTTCAAAATATGGTATCTACTGTTGAGTGTGCTCTTAAACATGTCTCAGATTGGCTGGATGAAACAAATAAAGGCACAAAATCAGAGGATGAGACAGATGTGAAGAAAGATGAGGCTGTAGAAAACTATTCCAAGGACCAAGCTGGTCGGACATTGTGTGGTGTAATGAGGATTGGCCTGGTTGCAAAAGGCTTGCTGATTAAGGATGATATGGACTTGGAACTGGTTTTAATGTGCAAAGACAAACCTACAGAGACCTTGTTAAATACAGTCAAAGATAATCTTTCCATTCAGATTCAGAAACTTACGGAAGAGAAGTACCAAGTGGAACAATGTGTAGATGAAGCATCTATTATAATTCGGAATACAAAAGAGCCCACACTAACTTTGAAGGTGATACTTACTTCCCCTCTAATTAGGGACGAATTGGAGAAGAAGGATGGAGAAAATGTTGCGATGAAAGATCCTCCGGACTTACTGGACAGGCAGAAATGCCTGAATGCCTTGGCGTCTCTCCGACATGCCAAATGGTTTCAGGCAAGGGCAAATGGACTAAAATCATGTGTGATTGTTCTACGCATTCTACTTAATTTGTGTAACAGAGTCCCCACGTGGGCACCATTAAAAAGATGGCCACTAGAGCTTATATGTGAAAAGTCTATAGGTACTTGTAATCGTCCTTTGGGCGCTGGGGAGGCCTTGAGACGAGTAATGGAGTGTTTGGCATCTGGAATACTACTTCCTGGGGGTCCTGGTCTTCATGATCCTTGTGAGCGAGACCCGACTGATGCTCTGAGCTATATGACTGTCCAGCAAAAAGAAGACATTACCCATAGCGCACAGCATGCACTCAGACTGTCAGCCTTTGGCCAGATTTATAAAGTGTTGGAGATGGACCCTCTTCCATCTAGTAAGCCCTTTCAGAAGTATTCCTGGTCAATTACTGACAAAGAAGGTGCTGGTTCTTCAGCTCTAAAGAGGCCTTTTGAAGATGGATTAGGGGATGATAAAGATCCCAATAAGAAGATGAAGCGAAACTTAAGGAAAATCCTGGATAGTAAAGCAATAGACCTTATGAATGCACTAATGAGGCTCAATCAGATCAGGCCTGGGCTTCAGTATAAGCTGTTATCTCAGTCTGGCCCTGTCCATGCTCCAGTCTTCACAATGTCTGTGGATGTGGATGGTACAACATACGAAGCCTCAGGACCGTCCAAGAAAACTGCAAAACTTCATGTAGCAGTGAAGGTATTGCAGGCAATGGGATACCCAACAGGCTTTAATGCAGATATTGAATGTATGAGTTCCGATGAAAAATCAGATAATGAAGGCAAAAATGAAACCGTGTCTTCAAACTCAAGCAATAATACTGGAAATTCTACAAGTGAAACCTCCAGTACCTTAGAGGTAAGAACTCAGGGCCCTATCCTCACAGCAAGTGGCAAAAACCCTGTAATGGAGCTCAATGAAAAAAGACGAGGGCTCAAGTATGAACTCATCTCAGAGACTGGTGGGAGCCACGACAAGCGCTTTGTAATGGAGGTAGAAGTAGACAGACAGAAATTCAGAGGCGCAGGTCCAAATAAGAAAGTGGCAAAGGCAAGTGCGGCTTTAGCTGCTTTGGAGAAGCTGTTTTCTGGACCCAATGCAGCAAATAATAAGAAAAAGAAGATATTCCTCAGGCAAAAGGTGTTGTGAATACAGCTGTGTCTGCAGCAGTCCAGGCGGTTCGAGGCAGAGGCAGAGGTGCTCTGACGAGGGGAGCTTTTGTTGGGGCTGCAGCTGCTCCTGGCTACATAGCTCCAGGCTATGGCACTCCGTATGGTTACAGCACAGCTGCTCCTGCCTATGGTTTGCCCAAGAGAATGGTTCTGTTACCCGTTATGAAATTCCCAACATATCCTGTTCCCCACTACTCATTCTTTTAGCAAATGACAGAAGCTCATTCCTATTGAACAACAGTACAGTACAATACAGAATGTTAAAGAAAAAGCCTTTTTATCCTGCTTTCTTTGAACACATACTTGATCAAAATTATTTGTAAAGAACATCTTTCCTACTTTTTGATTTTAACAAATGCAAATTTAGTTCTCTAAAACTTGAAAACAGACCAAAAAAAAAAGAATGAAAGAAAGCAAGCAAGCAAGCAAGCAAGCAAGCAGTTCTGTGAAACGGTACCTCATTTCTGGAAAATAATTTATACCAGCTCTTATGTTCTAGGGAAATAAAAGTCTAGCAGTTCAAAGTTTAAGTTTTAAGAGAGTATCAGATTATATAAAATTAAATTTGTGAAGGATGTACAGAGTCTCAAACACTGATCACAAATAAACAGCTTTGTTGTAAAAAAAAAAAAAAAAAAAAAAAAAAGAGAACCGAAAAAAAAAAAAAAAAAAAAAAAAAAGGGATCCTAAAATGTCCTAATAATGAATTTCTTTGAAAGTGTATGGACGGTGGAAATTACAACAGAGACTATAAGTTCATGACAGGATTCACAAATCATGGAAAGGGCTGGGGAGATAGCTCAGCAGCATAAGCACCTGCCTGGCAAGTGCAAAGTCCAGAGTTCAATCCTCAGGGGGAAAAAAAAAATACGGAAAGCAGCCATGTTGTTGTCCTGACGCTTGCTGACAATACAGCCTGCAGCCATAGAAATCACAAACCAGCTACTGTGTGTAGTCCCAATAATGTAAAGCTAAATGTATACAGAGATTATGTAAAGCGGAGTATAAAAGCTACAAGATAGCTTTTTTTTTTCTTGCGGAACCGGGGATGGAACTCAGATCCTTGCATTTGCCAGTCAAGATATCCTACTGAGCCATCTCCCCGGCCCCAGCCAACAGATACTTTTAAACAGATGTGGCAATTACCCCAAATTGTTCAGATCAACCTTAAATGATCCTCGGATTTTATTTGGTAATACTAATTGTTTCCACCCAGCCTTTGGGATAATTTCTCTGGTGTTATTAATTGTTATTATTCTTCAGACTAGTTAATTCAATTTGCTTTTGTTTTCAAAGATAAAGTATCTTAACGTAAAGGAGGCTATGTAATAACTTCCTCTTTCAAAATACAGGATACAGTTTTCATACCTTATGATCAAACTTCAGTTACAAAAACAAAAGGGGGGATTTTTACCTTCAAAATCAGGGGCCACGGAAATGGCACAGTGGAATAAGCCCTTCCCTGGCAAGCGCAAGGGCCTGAGTTCAATCTCTGGTTCTACTAAATAAATAAATAAATAAATAAACCTCCTATGAGACTTCATTTGACTGTATATACTACTAACTTCTAAAATTGTTCAAAAAATAAAAATAAAATAAAATTATACAGAAAATGGAAGTACAGAAATAGAAAGATAATTCCCTCAGGTAAAAGAAAAAGGGGCTAGGAAGGGTCCTTTGGAGAGATCTCCATACTGGACAGTGGAAGGGAGCCAGTTGGCTACTTACCTAGGGTAGGGGGTATGCTTATGTTTTTCCACAGAAGGCTGAGTGACCTATCTGGATACTGGAGCATGCTGTCAGGCTGTATCATAAACTCAGATCTGGAGAAGAAGCTGGTTCTACCTTTTGAGGAGCTGGTGTGTAGTCCTGTGACAGTGACACCTCAAAGACTCTCCATTAGACAAGGATGAGGCTAGATCTGAGCTGGGACCAACCAAAGAAATTGACCCAGAATGCTCAGGAGAGGGTAACCAAAATGAGAATTAAAGGTCTGAATAGGTGATAGAGTAGATAGATAGATAGATAGATAGATAGATAGACAGACAGATAGATAACTCAGCTGAAAATTACTAGTATTCTTAATATAAAATAA